GGAGAAAAGGAGGACGAGGAGGAGGGGGAGAAGGAACGAGGACCGCGAAGCGCGAATAGCTTCGCGCCCTCGTGGGAGCCCTTGCTGTTCTGAAAAGCTTGGCTGTTCTTCGGTGCCCAAAATATCGCGTCCTGGCCAGTGGCATTCCGCTGCTGTTCGTGCGCTGGGGTGTCCCCGTTGCCCAGCGTCGCGTCTTCGCGGGGCGCGGGGCTCCTGTTGCCCAGCCTCGCCCCTGGTCAACGAAACTCTGCTGCTCTTCGCGCGCGGCGGTGTCTTCTGTGTCTGGCGTCTCGCGTTGCTTCGCGTAGCTCCGCTGCTCATCGTGCGTCGCGGCGCCCCTCGTTGCCCAGCGCCTCGTCCCTTCCCTGCGACGATATGCTGCTCTTTGTGCGTCGCGGCGTCGCCCGTGCTCGGCGCCTCCCCCTGGCCCGTGTAATTAGCATTGCTGCTCCTCGCGCGTCTCGGTGCCATGTGTAGCCAGCTTCGCGCCCTGGTCTGCGAAGTTATGCGGCTTATCGTGCGGTGTGAAACAACAACAACAACAACAACAACAACAACCACCACCACCACCACCACCACCACCACCACCACCACCACCACCACCACCACCACAACAACAACAACAACAACAACAACAACAACAACCTTGTTGAGGGTGAGGCCCGCTGCAATACACGGATTGAAGGTGACCCCAGCCTGGTCGACGCAGTCGATCAGCACAAACGAAAATCGATGTGAAGTCATGGTGGTCCAGCACCGCCTTCTTGTCATCGAAGCTGTATCGCTCGTGCACCTCGGTGGCCCTGGTGCCCAGCTTCATGTCCAGGTCCAAAAAGCTCTGCTGCTCTTCTTGCGGTGCGGTGGCTTGTCGCTTGTCGTCGCGACTTTGTCTGCGAATCACTTCGGCTTATCGAGCGTCGCGTCGTCCTTCGTCGCCAGCGTCTTGCCCTGGTCTCTGTGGTTCTCCGGCGTCCCTAACGTTGCGTGGGTGCTGTCGGCGTTCTGCGCGTCGTTTCCCTTCTGCTACTCGAGCGCCGTGGTGGTGTAGTCCAGCTGGGCCTGCCTAGCGCAGTTCAGGAGTAGTCGGCGTCGTGATCGTTTATGTGAGCTCGAAGTGCACATCGCTGCATGGTGCCACAGCGTTCCAGCGGGCACACTCTGCATGCCGATTAGATTGTAGGCGGGCAGAGCAGGAGGACATGTCCATGCCGCTTCTGTCATGCGGGCCGTCACCGCCTCATCGTTTCAGCACGAAGTGCGAAAGTTCTCTATGTGTCCGCACGCTGCCTGGACAATACATTGGGCCCAGGTGGCAGATGGAGGAGGAAGAAGACAAGGGAGGACCAGTGCAAACCCAAGACTCATCAACGATGTTGAAATAAACCCTCCCTTTAAGCTCCCTCCACTGGCCCCTACAAGGGTTCATTCCCACTGACGGAACTGCCTCGCTGGGAGACAGCAGCTTCAAGACCGTGAAACGTGCCAGCACACCATTATCGGGACTCTAACGCCACGAATCAATATGACTATTGCGTCTTGACGGTCCGGCATCGCGCCAGAACGCCATTCCTGGGACCTCAACACCGCAAATCGAAGTAACTGTCGCGCCCCCACCATCCTGAATCCCTCGAAAGCATTATGTTTGACACGTTGGCCATGGGAATACGTGAAACTCTTGGTATTGACCAGAACGAATGTGCGCAGCGCTAAAGCGAGAGCTACATGTTCAAAAGGAACTGCCCCCAATCCGTGGAACTCTTGCAAATATTTTAGACGAATGTGCGCGCGGAGCAAAAGAAAGAGAGCCACATTGCGAAAACCACCCGCCCTCAATACGTGAAGCTGATACACAATTTGCTGGAGGAGAATAGGGAAGGGTAGGAGGAGGAGGAAGAGGAGGAAGTGAAGGGAGAAGGAGGAGGGAGGAGGGATGAAGAAGGAGGGATGGGGAGGGAGGAGGGAGGAGGGAGAGAGGAGGGAGGGAGGGAGGGAGGGAGGAGGAAGGAGGGAGAGGAGGGAGGCAGGGAGGGAGGGAGAAAGGGAGGGAGGAGGAAGAGGGGAATGAGGAAGGAGCAGATAATGGTGATGATGATCATGATGATGGTGATGATGATGATTATGATGGTAATGGTGGTGGCGGCGATGATGATGATGATGATGATGATGATGATGAGGAGGAGGATGATAGTGATGGTACTGGTAATGGTGATGGCGCCGATGATGATGCTGATGATGATGCTGTTGATGATGATGCCGATGATGACAACGATGATGGCACTGATGATGATGGTGATGCTGACGCTGACGCCGATGATGACGATGATGACGATGACGATGACGATGACGATGATGATGATGATGATGATGATGATGATGATCATCATCATCATCATCATCATCATCATCATCATCATCATCATCATCAGCATCATCACATCATCCATCATCAACATCATCGTCAGCATCGTCAGCGTCATAAACGTCATCACCGTCATCATCACCGTCGGCACCATCGTCATCACCATCACCATCACCATCACCATCATCAA